ACACACACACATATATATACATACATACACTTCCTAAAATTCAACTGCATTTATATATTTAATTGTATTATTTGTCATGATTCAAAGAAAATAAGAAAACCATGAAACTTAAATCTATTTACTACTTTAAGAAAACAAACACACAGAATGTATCTATACCTTGGTCTGGGTCATCACCAGGGTAAGAACCGAATGTGAGCGGGAGCTTTTATCGTTCATGCCAGTAGCAGCAGTTGCTCTTTGCTTATTTCCCAATTCTAGCCAACTCTAATCATAAAGAAGGGACAAAGGTGAGAGCTGCAGATGTAGTTTATTAGAACAACAAAGTTACGTAAGCACATCTAGTAATATGCATATTCATAATTAATTTACAAAATAAGATTATTAGTAAGTGTTTCCTTTTAAGAATTCGTCCTCCTATTGAATCGTTTTTTTTCAGTCACAGAAATTTGAATCAGAAAACAAAACCATAAAAAGGCTATTTCAGGGAAAAAAAGGCTATTTCAGTAACTATAAATTGGCATAATAGTCCATTTTTTTAATTTGGAAAAGCAATCCTTTTGATTAAACTTTAACAAACAAAATTAGTTCATGACAAATTAACAAAATTAATCTATTTATGTAAACAGTAATTAAGGAGAAATAGTCTTATGAATATGTATGATTGTGGACATTTAATTTAATGAAAAGAAAAAATACAGATAATCAGTCTTACCTGGATATCAGAGTAAGAATTGACAACATTCCTATTTTTAAAAAGTAAAAAGAAAAAATAATAATGATATTAATTTTCACTGAGTCTTTCATTTACCACAGTCTTAAAAATATTGGTTTTCTGTGTGATAAAATTTCAATACAACATTTACCTTTTTAATGTTCTTAAATGTACAACTTAGTGATATTATGTCATCAAGCTCTACAACTAATACTACTAGTCACTTTCCATTTTTTCCATCATCCTTAACAGACACTCAGTGCCTCCTTAGCTAGGCTGTCTCTTGTCCCTTTCTCTCCTACCCAACAACCAATAATAAACTTTGCTTAGTATAATTTTGATTATTCTAAAAACATTAGGTACCAAAATGTTCATCTTTCTTAACATAACAAAGTATCTTAGCAGCTTAACATTATAACATTAAAGTCTCTCTCTACTTATGAAATCAAAAGATTTACTTTTATCACTAGATAAAGAGAAACAGGAAAAAATGTTTACCTCTTATCTGTGTGAGCACACACACACATTCTTTGGAACTCATTAGAAGCCTAGATTTAATAAATGCAGCTGACCTCATACCTAATCACTCTTTTCTTCCCTTTAAGAAAAGAATTTTGAAAAACAAAGTCTTAGACACTATCAAGCAACTTTGAGTTAATCTTAGTATCTTCTATTCACCACAAAGCAGTAGCTATATATACAAGGGAGGTTGAGAAAGAAGTTTAACTTCATGGAGCACAAAGAGGGCTAAGGGGAGAAAAACCAAACACTAATTCTATCCTCTGCAATTAATATCCTATTGTCAGGCAAATTATAGATGATGTGGAAAATATAAATATGAAAATAAGGAGCTAACATTCTATTTGGAAAGAGAGAAAATCTAAATGAATAGTAGTAAAGCACCAAGGCTACGTTGTTATCCCAACTGTCAAAGCTGGGGGGCGGAAATGAGAACAAAATGAGGATTTTGGAAAAACAACATTCACTCTGTCCATTTGTTTCCTCTTCCTTTGCTCTTGTGTTACCAAACACTTACATTGACAGTGCTTCCACATAGGGTCCAGAGATCGGATGCTCCCTTACTCTCAGCTAGAAAGAAAAAAACATCAGCATCACTAAGTATATGAAAAATATTTCGTAACAAACTTAACATTACATGGTTATTTTTCTATATTTTGAGTGTAAGGAAAGAGATCTGCCTTTTTTACACCCAGAGATAAATGTGAAAGTTTTCACAAAAAGAAATCTATAAGCCACCAAGAAACTGTCTCAACACCACAAATCTGCTGATACTCAAAACAGTATAGCATGAAGTGACTCACATTTTCTTTTTTTAATTTTGACACTTTTTATTCATTTTAATGAAAGTTTACAGAGACTTTGGATTTCCATTCATTCACTGTTGCACTTTTCCACCTGCCCACTCCTGCCTCCCAATTTGCTCTTCTCTTTGAAAGAAAAATTCTTTCATTGTTATACAATCCCTCCCCCCAAGTCCATTCCACTATGCAGCCTTCATTCTGGACTCCTAACATGACATAATAATCCCTAATCATATCCCTTTTAAACAGTTCTCTTTCTCATAGGTTTCAATGCAGTATACATTATTTATCGCATCTTTCTCAGTCTACCCCCAACCCTGATGTCAGTCCCGTTTTACAACAGTGGCACTATGCAGTATTTGTCCTTTTGTGACTGAGATATTTCACTCAGCATAATGTCCTCCAGGGT